CTACAGCACAGAGTCGGAACCTGTGGTTCCCAAAGCTGGCACAGAGTCGGAACCTGTGGTTCCCAAAGCCGGGCCCACGGCGAGCTTCCTGAGTACAATACGGGAAGGAGCCAGGGCACGTGCCGGGGGCACAGCCCCGGCGCCGGGCGGCCCAGCTGGTGAACCCAGCTCCTCCTCATCCTCCAGCTCGCCCAAGCATAAGGAGGAGGAACAGAGCGAACCTGGTGAAGACCAGGAAGAGGAGAAAAGCCCAGCAGGGCAAGTGGATAGGCCAGACGGGGAGGCACTTAGCCCAACAGAGCCGGCGATGTCCCCGCAAGAGGCCCCACCCACCGTACCTGGTGACAACCAGGCAGTAAAGCAAGAAGAGCCGGAGCCTGAAAGTGCGGCCCTAGAACCTGGTGTGAACCAGGCAGCAGTAAAGGAGGAGAAGAAAGACTCTGAAAGCCTAGAGGAGGCAAGCCCACCAGCTCCGGTGGGTACCCCGGAAGGGAGCAGCTCAGAAGAGCCCAAAAGGAAACGTGAGCTCCCCCCGGGGCCAGGCATTACCGGTCCAGACCCGGACTATGGCCAAACGATGAAATTCTTCATCTCCATGAAAAAGAACGTGAAACCATGCCACAGCCGCTATACTGAGGCATGTGAAGTTGAATACTTCAGCACGGAGGTCTCAGGGGTAACCAGGCTCGGCCTGGTGATAGTTGGCCTTGGTGGCTCACGAGTGGTCACGTTCACACCCCACAAGCCGGGGGTCGTATGGAAACTGTCGGTATACCCCCAAGACCAAGAAGTCTTGGTGTGCAAGGTCACGGGGGCCATGACTCCAGGCCTCGCCAAGCAAGCTGGTGTTCACCAGCTCTGTGAAAGAGGACCTGGTGCAGACCAGGAGCCCAAATGGGTCACCCTCATCGAGATGGAGGCGGTGCACCCAATACCGGCACAGCTCTCAAGCCTTCCAGGCCTGTTTCACGGTGGCCCTCCTGGCGAAGATCCTCCTGGTGAAGGACATAGGGAAAGCCAATATGGGCCTGAGGTTCACACAACCAGGACAGGCTGTGCCGGAAATGGTGATGCTGGACGTGTTGGGGTGGGTCCCTTACCCTGAGGGAACCCGACCCCAGTGGCCAAACGTCCAGCGCCTCACTGGGTTCTGGAAATCCATCGATGACCCCTTGAGGGCTGAGCTAAAGCTGACAGTGATAAAGCATCACACGTCGCTTGAGAGCACCACGGTTGCTCTCAAAGAGCTGGCGAAGACCAAGCTCTCCAAGCCGGACTTTGAGTCCCTCATGAAAGTGCTGGTGGATACCAGCGTTTTGGCGGTAACGCCGGAGGGTTTGTTGGGCCAGCTCCTCCTCCCGGACGAGTACCGGCACGACCTGGTACGGGGAAAAACGTGGCTTATCCTCCCCTTTCCATAGGGACTGAGAGCCCAGGCTAAGGCCTGAACAACTCCAAACTGGTGCTACCAGTACCAGCCCTGCTGGTGAAAACCAGGTAACTGGTGCTCGTAGCAACCAGCCCAGCTGGTGTCTGGGCCAAAGAGCTCCAGCTGTAGGACCAAACCAGTCACCACAACCTACAGAACTGGTGTCAGTAGTAACCAGCCCAGCTGGTGTAGTTCAGAAGGCTGGTGCTACTGACAAAGCTCTTCCAGCCCAGTGGAAGCCACTGGTGAGTAGAACCCACCAAAGGTGGGCAAAACCAAACCGCCTGTTTCACCCCAAACCGCCGGCCGATGGCCTGGCAGCGACTTGTTCGCCCACGACGAGAAAATCCCATTTGCGGCGCAAGTACTACCGCGCCATTTGCAGCAAATATGCTGGTCGACAAAAACTAGGATCGGTTGATCTGACTTTTGCCTTGAATCCTGCCAAGTGCGAAGACCCGACTTTCACCATCATGCGGCAGCATATTAGAGCTGTTTTCCGTGTCTTTAAAAAGTGGCATCGTGAGGATGGGCAAAAATTCGCCAGCACTTGGAAAAGCATATGGAATCACTTGTCCAAAGCAAAAGACCCTTGGAAGAGAGTCACCGGACCAATTGCTGCCACCCAAGCGTATTTGATTGAGTTGGGAGTGGAATGCTCACAGGTGCATCTGTGGCGGCATGCCAAAGGTAACCTTCAACTCGACTGGACCAATTCTGATGTCATCCGCAGCGGCTGGGAGTGGGTGCATAAATTACTGCTACACCAGCAAGGGCTTCGCATTGCCCAGCAAGAGGGTTGTGGTTCACTCGATCAGGGCACTGACTTCACTGTCCACCGCAAGTTGTTGAAGCGCAAACATGTTCAGAGAGCTACCCTTAGCAATTTGCATGCGGTATGGCAAGGAGCGATGGTTTCCTCAGCCAAGCCAGGTTGGTGCAAGCTGTGCCAGTGTCCGCTTTCTTTGCAACATAATCTTTGGGAATGTCCGTTCATTTGCAAGCAGTTTGATGCCGAGGAGTTTTCCGAATTGAAATCCCAGTACCCTTGGCCTTCATTGTGGTTGAGAGGCCTGCCTCCCCTTAGTGAAGTGCGGCATCCCAAACCTGCGAGTGAGCAATGCGGCTTGCAAGTCACGGGACTATGGTCGACCCAGAGTACTTTGGAAGGCAGTCGATATGTTTTTGCTTGTGATGCTTCTGGAGGACCAGGCGGCTCGGATCAAAGGCTCCTCGTAACGACTTGGTCCATAGGAGCCTATGCCTTGGTTGATGGGCAACCAAAGAGGGTTGCGAGTGCCACGTGCTTGGAGGCGGAGCCCCTGACAGTGCCTCAGGCCGAACAGCGAGCTCTTTTTGAGTTGATGCATCGTGTCACTGGCGACTTTGATGCCACAACTGATTGCAAAAGTGTCAAGCAAATCTTGTGCAAGGCCAACCCACCGCAGGAAGGTGTTGTGCCATGGGGCACGATATGGCACGAGCGCAGTCGCATCCGCTTGCATTGGGTTTCTTCACATAAAAGTGCAGCTTACTTTGAAAAGCAGGGCTGGGAGCAGTGGAGGCGCCTCATCAACGAGGACGTCGACAAACTCTGCGGGGAAAGGGCTTCTCAGCATTTCTCGATCGCGCATGCGAAGTGGCTGAAGAAATGTGATTCCGTGGTGGAACAAGTCTGCTACTCCTTAGCGCGACGTGCTGGATTCATCATTCGGCAGAGAAAGAGCCCCCCCTGGTTGTCCCTAACGCCGCCTTTGTTAAGCCCAGTCCTGCCAAACCCAAAAATGCAAAAAATCCGAAGTCCAAGAAGGGGGTTTCTGGTGATAAACCTGGTCCTGGCCCAAAAACTGGTAAGCCCTTGAACAAAAAACAACGCATGTTAGAAAAGTTGGCAATGCCTGAAGATCCTCTGGGTCACCAGTGGGTCAAAGGCGCTGAAGGACCTACCAACTTGACAATGAAATGCACCAAATGTGGACTGTACGTTCAGCAAATAGCTGACCCGGCAAGCTTCGACCGTCTCATGACACACCACTGCATTGGTGGTGGTGAGATTTTGAGCGAGTGGGGCATTCATGCAACACACAGTATGGTCAACATGGGTGTGCAGTGGTCTTGTTCCAAATGTGGGAGGCTGCAGCGCCCACAGTCGGCCGTTGGAGCGAAGCAGTTGCAGAAACCTTGTGATGGGAGAGCGGCTGTAAGCCAAATCGGTAAAGTGGCTCAAGGAGTGGGCAGCTCAACTTTGGATCAGTCGGGCCCTGCGGTGCCGAAAACTAAAGCTGCTACTCCTTTTGGGTCCAAGCGTGACGCTGCTGTAACTCCAGAGGGACCAAAGCAGGCCACTTTAAGCTTTGGGCAACCGGCTGTGGTTGTGACGCCAAAAAATGCTTGCAAGCCCAAAGCCAAACCAAAACAAGCACAACTGACTTTCTCTTGAAAGCCGTGCAGGGCTGGTGTGCTGCTTTTGCGCCCTACGAGGCTGCATTAGCGCTACAGTGCCTTGCATGGTGGTCCGTTCAGTGCGGCCAAGAGTGCAAACTAAATTGGTGAGCCTTCGTCCTTAAGCCTTGAAGGTGCTTGTGGCGCTATGCCTACTCACCAGACGTCTTAAGACACGCAAACTTCATTTCATGGCCAAGGCAGGTCGGTGGTGTGGGCACTTGGCGTGCTCATGCGACCACCCGCTGCGCTGTGTACAGTTGGCGGTAGGCGGTAGGCTATAGCTGTATAAAGTGTACAAAGGCTGCTGTGGTAGTCTCCCAGGCTATGCTGCTTTCGCTTGACGACGAAACTCACCTTCAACTGAGGCCCAACTGTGAGGGCCCACTGTGCTTTGAGGGGCACGTGTGGTGGCTTGTGTGCATGATCCGTTGAATACGTCACTCCCACCACTGCCTCAGCTCCGTGGTCCAGCCTGGCTGGCTTGCGTGCAACAGCAAGACTTCACGGCCTTAGGGCTATGAAGTTTTGCTTCCGTAGCTAGGCTGTCAGATCCGTAGCTCTACTGGTAGCTTTGCTTAGCTTGTACAGTCTTGGCCTAGGAGCCGCGCTACCTCTTCGAGTGCTCGGAAAGAAAATCCCATTTGGCTCAAGCTGTTGTGGTTCAAGTGGCGAGCGCCGCGCTGTTGCCGTCGTGGCTGGGCTCCTGAGGCCGTATCTAAGGGTGGGCCCTCAAGAGACCTCAAAACCAATCTCTGTGTTTCCTCGTAGGCGGGCTGACCCGCACGGGCGCGCAGGGGTAGCGGCAGTTCCAGGGAGAGCCCTGAAGTGCAATAGAGTAGCGCCATAGAGCCGCAACACTTGAAACTGCTTGCAAACTCTTCTTGCAGCTTGTGAACCAATCCTTGTTTTCTTGTGCAGAATTTTCTTGGATTTGGGCCTTGCAAAATTGCCCGTTTACTTGTTGCAAAAGTACAGTTGAGGAGTTTTTCTTGCAGGCTTCTTGAAAGGAGGCCATCGCAGAGCGCGCAGGCCCACAAAGGGAAGTGATGCCAGTCAAGATGTCCAGGCATTACACCGTCTGTGGCTGCGGATCGTGGGTGTGGACGGATCGGATTGGCCCTCACAGGCCATGTTGCCAGCAGTGTGGCAAACGCTGGCCACAGCAAGGGCCAAAGCAGGGAGCGAAGCAGGATCCGCAATGGGGTCCGTCTGTGAGAGTGTGGAGGTCTCCCGCTGCTGCTCAGGAGCTTGAGCCCAAGCCGCCAAGACCCCCTCGCCAGAACCAAGCACAGAGGGCATTGACAACCATCTGGGAATCCTTGCCTGAGCACGCGCGCCAGCAGATTGAGGAGGCGGGGTGGAGACCTAAGCTCCCTCATCCCCCGCCAGGCTTACCCAGGCAAACCAAAGGAGGTGCAGGCAAAGGCAAGGGCGCAGTTGGAACAGCTGAAGTCCGGGATGAGGCTGCTCAGGCTGAGGCTGCTCGGTCCTTGTTTGCCTCGGTGAGCGAAGAGCAGCGTGAGCTTCTCTGTCGACTTGGCATCAAAGAGCCCGAGGCGCAGCCCCAAGACCTTGCTTCATTGTGTAAGCAACACATCCGTTCCTTGCCAGCTGACATCCAGAAGTTGCTGGAAGACCCTCCTGAGCGACCACCCACGCCTCAGGAGGTCATGAGCGAAACAAGCAAGAAATTTAAAATTGCCACTGCCGAATTGCGGGACCTTATTTTCCGAAAAGCTGCCTTGCAAGTGCGGCTGGATAAGCATAAAGAGCTGTACTCCAACATGTTGTCAGACATGAAGTCCATCAATGAATCCTTGGAGGAGCGACAAAAGCTGGTGGCCTCCTTGCAAGGGGAATTGCAATCCTCGGTTGCTGGGGTCCCGGCCCCCGAGGCCTTGCCTGAGGCAGCAGAGGCTCTTGCCAAGCAGGTTGAGGCCATGGATGTTGATCAGCTTGACGACTACCGGCAGCGCCTTGTTGAAGCCATTGATGAAGCTGTAAAGCGCAGGCGCGTGGATGCACCGGCGCAGAAGGCAGCGCCGCCAAGCCCTTTTCCTGCTGGGCCGGAAGTGCACCAGCCAGCAGCAACTGAAGGAGACAAGCCACGGTCCCGCAGCCGGGGTCGAAGTACACAGCAGGGTTAGGGATCGGGGAGAGGGGTAGGGGGCGGCCTTTTGGTTCTTAAGAGTGCTTTGTTTTCAGGTAGAAGCCGTGCCAAACAAGTGCCTTTTCACGACCAGAGGGTTCCCTCCGCCCCGTTTTCCCGAACCTGCCCGGTGCCCACTCCAGTGAAGCGCGCGGATGAAACCGTTGCTCTGTGTGGTGAGCTCTTTTCTAACCAGTGTGAACCGACAACGGCCTTGATTCATCATGCAGCTAGCGTGCCCAGCCCTCAGAGTGCCAGGCCGTGTGCCACATCGGGCAAGCCCGTTCAGTTTGGCATGCTGACACAGGAGAGTAACCAGTCTTTTCCGCGAGATTTGGTGGCATTTTCGGCACCACAGGCGTATAACCTTTTTTCTTCGTCAGCCATTGTTTGAGCTGTGCTGCCCCGCTTGCCTTCTCACGAACTGTGAGTTCCAGTGCCGAGGGCAGCCGTGATGACTTGTGTAATCTGTGTGCCCAGGCCGAATCTGCATCAAGCTGTGCTGGTCGCGCTCACGTCGAGCCCTCGAGGGTGTACAGTTGGATTCGCGGGTTGCAGGGAGTGGTTTCTGCGCAGGGTTACGGGTTGCTGCCTTTCCAATCAGCCTTGCAGTGCTCTGTGTGCCTCGCGCCAGTGCCCACTTCGAGTGCCCGCCTAGAGCCCTCACTGTATCCCCTTTGCCAGTGTTGTGTTTCTGCCAAAGGGCCCTTTTCCAGGACTCAGGTCGTCTTGCTGGATCCTTATGTGCCTTCAGGACAGCCTGTGCACAAGGTCTTCCGTACAGCGGGCAAGGCGGCCGGGTGCTGGGCTGAAGCCGGGTCACCGGCCATGCAGGTCGTTTTTGAGGGGTGGACCAGGACAGGAGGCTGGAAGCAGGCGGCCCAGGCTTCATTTCAGGTCCTTACCCCGTGTGCTTTCCCTCTCTGTGAGGGCCCTAACCCCAATTTCTTGAGTACGAGGTCGCTTGAAAGGTCCTTGCAAATCACAGGGGACTTGGGTTCAACTGGGCTGCCTGATGTACCGTGTGAGGCCCTGGATGTAGAGCCTGTGGTGGTAGACCAAGGTTCCGGCGGCGGCCGAATTACTCCGAAACCACAATTCCGCCGACCGGCATTCCGGAGGTGGCCGAATTGTCCCTTCTGTACTCAGAAGCCACAATTCCGCCGAGGGCCTGGATGTGAGCTTTAATGTCCCACTGCCGTGTATCCCTAATGAGCTGGCTTCTTTTCAGGAGGGCAGTTGGTTTTCATTTCAGGCCCCGAACCCGTGTGCTCCTGCTTGTTCGGCGGGCCCTAACCCCATTTTGCAGCAAACAGGTTGGAGGTCCAGTGAGGCTGAGGAGGAGTGTCATTTGGGGCCTGCTTTGGAAGCTTCATGTGTGGGCTGTGGGTCAGAGCCTACACTGTCGGCCTCGGAATCCCAGGAGGCCCTTTTATTCTATCAGGCGTGTTGGCGCGCTCACTGCGCCAGACCTTGCGCTGAGCTAGCAGTTGCGATGCAGAAGTGCGGTCAATTTTGTGCCACCTGTCTGTGCAAATTTTCGCACCAGTGTGCTGCTGCTGACTTGGTGCAGAGTTGCAAGCAGCCTTGCGTGATCACAGGGCCAAAATTTTTCTGGCCCGAACATGAGTATGCTTTCTTGCAGGACTCATGGCAGGATGAGGCCCCAAGTGCTGTCTGCAGTGGTGTAGGGCAGTCTGGGCAGACAGAGCGGGTTCCCAAGTCCAGGCGCACTAGGCGGCGTCGCAATCGTTGGCTGAGGCGCGCAGCTATGCCAGTGATAAGTGGGGAACTCGCAGGGTCATGCAGCCGCTCATGTGAGCAGTTTTCGCCGGCCTTTCTTGATTCAATAATAGAGCCCCTGCCATGTGAGCAGGGTGCCCCCAAGACCCAGGAGGTGGAGGTTATGTTCAGGAGTTGGAAGTTGCCTCAGGAGGGTGGGCCGCTGGCCATGGGTCTTGGGGGACCGGAAGGAGGGCCCTGGATGCTTGCTGCGGGCCATTTGTCTGAAGCAGGGCACGGTAACACCTCCTTGCATTCTGATGTGCGCCCTGCTGGCTGCACTCAGACTGTTTCCCAGGATTCTTCTTGTGGTTCCCTTGATGTGAGCCTTGACGGTGGCACTCCCACAAGTTGCCAAAAATCGGATTTTGAAAACCTTAAAGCTGCGGTTCTGGCTGGGGATGCTCCGTCCATCTTGAGCTTAGTCGAGTCTTTTGAGCAGCAAGGCCTCATCACCGAAGGCACTTTTCATTGGAAGGTTGTGGAGCTTGCTGTGGAAACACAGGAGGACGTGCCTCCTCATGTGGCCGGCTGGGCAATTGACGATGCCCTGGCAAACCTTAAGGAACCGAAATATCGGGATGACTTGTGCATTGTCTCGGCTAATGTCTCGTCTTGGAGGAAGGACCTGTGCCCCTGGGTGGCGCAGCTCGGTGCCTCGGTCGTTATGTTACAAGAGACGCATCTGTCCCCGGATCAGCCCGATTTGATTGAAGGCCAATTGGGGGTTTATGGTTTCAATGTCTTTAGTGTGCCGGGGCAGCCCACGGGCCGGGGCGGTACATCAGGCGGAATGGCAATTTGCTTTCGCAAGCACTTGAATGTCCGGCGGGTGCATCAGTTTTTCAAGGCCGGGGCTGGGTTTCAGGTTGCTGCTATTCGATTGCGGGACACTGATTGCTATCTAGTTAACCTTTATTTGAAGGCTGGTGAAGGCTTTCAGAGTGCCACCAATTCGCAAATTTTGGCTAATCTGCTCGCTTTTCTTACGTCGGCCCGGGGCATTTACTTTGCTGCAGGCGACTTGAATGAGGATTTTGAGACCATAGCAGCCAGCAGTTTTGCTCAGGAAGCCAAGGGCCATTGGATCAGCAGTGGAGAGTCCACGTGTGCAGGGGGAGGCAATATTGACTTTGGCCTTCTTTCCCCCATCTTGGCTGCGGGTGCTAAGTTGGTTGTCGATTGGGACACTCCTTTTGCTCCACATGCGGCCTTGCATTGGACACTGCAGCTTGAGCATTTTGACTTTAAGCTGCCGCAGTTGATTGCTTTTAAGCCTGCACCGTTACAGCCTCAGCCCTTTCTCTCGAGTGTTGTCGCTGACCCTCGTGGTGAGCAGGTAGCCGTCCAATCCCAGGAGGAGTTGCATCTGCTTGGGACTGAGGTCGCTGAGCCTGGACTGAGTGCGCTTTTCGCCAGCCTCAGTAGGGATGTTGAAGTTTCGATCTTTGGTTGTAGTCAAGGCCGAGGTGCCAAAGTCCAGGTCTGCAGGAGGCCCCTTGTTGTCCCCATTGCTCCTGCTTCTGGTTGGGGAGGGGCTCTCGCCTCCTTTTGGCGTCGCATGGTTGTGTGGCTGCAAGCTTGCTCAAAGCGTTTCCATGTGAGCCCTTTTGGCAGGTCGGCCTCACTCCGCTTTGGCAGCATGTGGGCCGGTGCGGTTTCTGATCGGGATGCCTTTCAAGCTGACCTTCAGGTTCTCCTGCAATCAGGGGATGTGAGAGTGTTGCCTGGACTGCTTGCAGCGGCACAGAAGCAGCATAAGGCCCATCAACAACAATGGCAGCAAGAGAAAAGTGCATCATATGGTCAATGGCTCCGGCAGTCGACTCAAAAAGGCATGAGGCCCTTGTTCCGTAGTGTTAAGGCTGAGGAGGTTGTAACTGTTCGCCCCTTCCTTGATGCCCCTGTGCAAGAACGCATTTACTTGAGGTGGAGGCATTGGTTTGAACTGTGGTCGCATCCAGCTGGGGTCGATCGTGATCTGCTGGCCTCCTTGAAGCATGCTGCGCAGGAGCAAGCCCGGTTGTTGCATCCGATCGACTTGGAGCGGGCTGTAGGGTTTTTCAAGAAGGTTCCCACCAAAGCGCCCGGCTTGGATGGCTGGACTTGTGAGATGCTTCGTAACCTCAGTGTTGAAGCTGTGCAGGCAATTCTTGAATTCTTCCATCACTGTGAGCGCGAGGCTTCTTGGCCGGACCAAATGGTGTTTGCACTTATAGCCTTGTTGCCTAAGTCCGAAAAACGTGAGCGCCCCATTGCATTGTTGCATATCCTTTACCGTGCTTGGGCCAAGCTGCGGTGGCCTTTGGTTGCCACGTGGCAGGCTGCTTATGCTGCTCGTGCCACTTGGGACAAGGCTGTCCCGGGTGGCCAGGCGCTTGACGTAGCACTGGCAAGGCTGATGCTGGGCGAGTCGGTGCGGAGGTGCAAATCCCACCTTATAACATTGTTCCTAGACATGGAGACATTCTACGATAGGTGTGTTTTTGATGACGTCATTCGCTCGGGACTTTCTTTGGGCTACCCTCCTTTAGTTTTACATCAGGCCTTGCTTACTTACATGGGGCCTCGCTTTATCCAGTCGGAAGGTGCATTGTGCCCTCCCATTTGGCCGGGGAGGGGAGTTCTGGCTGGATGTCCAGCGGCGCCGTCGGTATCAAAACTCGTCATCCACCCAGTTGCTGAAAAGCTGGCTTCAAAGAAAAGTGCATGCAACCTTGACATTTGGATTGATGACCTGTCGCTTGATTCGGTTAATAAGTCTCCGGTGCAGGTTGCCAGTGATTCCCTTCTGCTGTTCAGGGCTCTCCGACGGGATTTGGAAGCTAGGGGAGCTCAGATCTCAATTTCAAAAACATGCTTTGTGGCATCGTCGACGGAGGCGGCCAAGGCCATGAGCAAAATTCTTGATGCCAATGATCCTCAGGTCAAATCGATGACTCGGGACCTTGGTGTGACTTCAGCCGGTGGTCGCCGTCGTGTTTTGGGGCTTGCGGAACAGCGCAGGAAAAAGGCGGCCGGCAGGTCGCGGAAACTCAACCGTCTGGCCATCCCGGGGAGGGCGCACCGTTTGCGCATCGTGAAAGCATCTGTGTGCTCGGCTGGCCTCTGGGGCCATCAGGCGCAGGGAGTGAGTCCTAAACGCCGTAAATTCTACAGAACGCTCATCGCTAAGCATCTTGGCAGGCACAAGCTTGGATCGCTTGATCTCACCTTTGTTGTCAACCGACGGCGATGCGAGGATCCTCACCTCACCTTGTTACGTCAGCATGTTCGTGCTGTGGCTAGGGTTTTCCGCCGTTGGGTTTTGGTTGACTCGGATAAATTTAAGTCTACTTGGGTGAGCATTTGGTTATGGCTCTCGCCGTCGCAACACCCGTGGAAACGGGTTAATGGGCCGCTTGCGGCTTTGATCGCTTACTTGATCGAGCTGGGGGTGCAGGCGCCGCAAGCTCATCATTGGCAGCGCGGAGACAGCACCTTGACCATTGATTGGGCGTGCCATGATGCTACTAGGAAGGTTTGGCATTGGCTCTTGCCACTGTGGGAAACTGTTCAGTTGCAGAGGGTGTCCCTCTTAGAAGGTGCTTTGGATTTGGGTTCGGGAGTAGACCTCACCGTCCCTAACCGCCTCCTTCGACGCAGGTTTTTTAACAAGTACATGGCAGTGAACTTGCAAGCACTTTGGCAAGGGGCCTTGATTGGTCAATCATGCCCGGGGTGGTGCACTGTTTGTAATTGCCCACTTAGTTTGCAGCACGTTCTGTGGGATTGCCCTTTTATCACTGCTAAATACCCTGAGCCTTCGCATTTCCGTGCCGCCCGCCAGAAATTCCCATGGCCTTGCCTTTGGCTTAGGGGTTTAGTCCCTCAGGCAGCGACTGGGTTAAAAATTTCGAAGGGCTCCTCGGGTTTAGTGTGTGAGGGTTTGTGGCAAACACAACAAGTACTTAGCAGTGACAATCTGGTGTTTGCTTCAGACGCTTCAGGTGGCCCAGGGGCCCGGGACCTTCGTTCTGCTTGTGTGGCTTGGGCCATTGGGGCCTATGAGATCACAGAGGATGGGGCCCGCCGTGTTGCGAGCATCACCTCTTTTCCACAGCGGCCCTTGTCGGTTGCGGGTGCGGAGCAGCAAGCAGCCTATGAACTTTTCGCCCGTGTCTCAGGTACCTTCGACTTGACGGTTGACTGCAAAGCTGTTGCTCAGGTTGTAACTAAAAAATCCCCGCCTCTTGAGGGACCTACTCCATGGGGTTTGGTTTGGTCTGAGCGAGCTAGAGCTCGCATTACCTGGGTGCCCAGTCACAAAGATTCCAAGTATTATGCTGATAGGGGCATTCCTGAATGGAGGCGTCGTGTCAATGAAGATGTTGATGCACTCTGTGGCAAGCGAGCTGCTGGGGTGTTTCAGGCTGCAACCAAGCCGGACCTAGTCGGCATAGATACGCTTTGGGAGGAGGTTTGTTTGCACTTGGCTAGGAAAATTGGGTTTATCCTTCTGCATAAAAATGACAAATCGTTTCCGTGGCTTTTCCAACGTTGCAAACAGGAGTCTGGTGATTCTTCTTGCAATAAAGTTCTCCCTAACCCTGTGTTTTCTAAAGGCAAGGGTAGGTTGCCACAGGAAACAGGTTGCAGTGTCCCTACACCTGAGGTTACCCCTTGCGCTTCGACTGGTGCTGCCAAGGCCACCAAACCTCTCAACAAGAAGCAGAGAATGTTGGCGAGGCTTTCAGGCGACGAGGATTCACTGGGTCACCAGTGGGTCAAGGGAGCCGAGGGCTCCACCAACATGACCATGAAGTGTGCAATTTGTGGATTGTACCTGCAGCAAATCAACGATCTGCCCAGCTTCGATCGCCTTATGCATCACCCGTGTAAGGGTCGAGGCGACCCTTTGCAGCAATGGAATATTCACAGCTCGCATGACATGATCAACATGGGAGTGCAGTGGTCGTGTGCTAAGTGTGGCAGGTTGCAGCGCCCACAGCATGCTACGGGAGCCAAAACCCTTCAAAAACCGTGTGATGGCAGGGCTCCTGTCAGTCAGTTGGGTAAACTTGCGCAGAGTGCCGGCAACCAGTCTTTAAGTGACACAGCGCCGGCCATTCCAGCGCAAAAGGTGGCTGTCCCTTTTGGCACTAAGACCACTAAGAAGGGTGAGCAACCAACCGTTGATAAGGGACCCAGGCAGGCAACTCTTAAGTTTGGTTCACCTCCTGCTGTTGCCCCGAAAGGTAAGTCCAAAAAGCAAGCGGACCAAAAGCAAACTAAGCTTGCCTTTAGCCAGGGTTCTAATCCAGCCTCTCCCCGGTAGTTTGCAGCTTCTGCGCTCCCATGGTGAGCAGCACCAGCGCAACACACTGAGGAATGATGACTATGTGCACTGCTCGCTTCCAGTCTTGAGCCTTGCGGGTTTCTTGTGCAGTTTTGCTGTTTTGCGCTCCCACGGTGAGCAGCAGTAGAGCCACACTGCCAAGGGTTGATGAATATGTGCACTTTTCTTGGGTACAGTCTTGAAGGCTCTTGGAGTTCTGGCCTTGTGCTGGCCAAGCAGGGAGAGTTACTCACAGTTGCTCAGCGGGGGTCCACTTGGGCCCAGCGCTGCCAAACTGTTTGTTTCCTGTACTTCGAGGCGGTTCCAGAGCTTTACGGAACGAGTCAACGCGTTACTGGCGCTAGAGTGGTGCGGCCATCGGAAGATGTCTGTACGACTCTAGCTGGCGTTGTACAGTTAGCTGTAGTTCCACGGTAGTCGCTGTGTACAGTCGTAGTGGGCTGCCGGCAGCTGGAACTTGGGAAGCACGGGGATGCTTCCGCTTGCTTTGTCTACGGTGTTCTCTGAAGGTGCCATTCCTGCCTGCATGCCCGTTGAATTTGTGGCTCATTGGCAAACCTGCAGGGCACTGTTTTGCAACACTTGGTCCAGTGGGACTTGCGTGCAACAGCTTTGCCTCGTTACTTTCGGGTGACGGGGCAAGGCTTCCGTAGGCAGGTAGTCTCCTCTGTAGATCAGTGTTTTAGGTCTGTTTTTCCACTTAGCCTTGGAGCTGCGACTGTCTGCTCGCTCGGGAAGAAAATCCCATTTGACCTTGGATGTCCTGATGTTTTCGGCATGCCTGAAGCTGTGAGGAGTGCTTTTGAGTTAGGAAGTGACTGCACGTTCGTTTCGTCTCGTTTCGTTAGTGCTTGAAGTGTTTTGCTTGGAGACAGACAGCTGCAAGGTGTTTCACTGTCAGTCAGAGCCCGACGCGACTCCGCTTTGGCTCAAGAAAAAGACCGAGTGCTGCGCGCTCTGTTTTTCACAAATCTTGCATGGCGAAGACTGTCGGACATGGAATGCTCTTCGAGGCGTTCCCTGTGCAGCGAACAACTGGAGCGGACAAGGAGAATCCGACTGTTTGATTAAAACAAAGCATTGAGATGGCTTTAGAAGGTGTTGGCGCAATGTGATTTCTGCCCAGTGCTCTGAATGTCAAAGTGATGAAATTCAAACAAGCGCGGGTAAACGGCGGAAGTAACTATGACTTTCTTAAATAGCCAAATGCCTCGTCATCTAATTAGTGACGGGGCTTTGAAGGGGGCTTAAAGAGGGCTTGAAGGGGGGGAGAAGGGAGATTTCGAAGAAACCTTCAAAGTATGGGTGCTACATTGTATTTTCTTCGCAAACGCCCCAAAAAGCGATTTCGTGTGGCTTCTTCTTTTGTGTTTGTGTTCATTTGTTTTGTTTCATTAAGTCCGCTTTTCTCATTTTATTTTCTTCGCAAAAACCCACCATCAAACGATTTCGTGTCGCTTCTTCTTTTTCTTGTTTTGTGTGTGTGTGTGTGTGTGATTGCGTGGGGGGCTTGTAATTGTGTTTTGTTTCATTAAGTTTGCTTTTCTCATTTTATTTTCTTCGCAAAAACCACCCCATAAAACGATTTCGTGTGGCTTCTTCTTCTTCTTCTTGTGTGTGTGATTGCGTGGGGGGCTTAAAGGGGAGCTTAAGGGGGGCTTCCGGGAGGCTTAAAGGGGGGCTTAAAGGGGGCTTAAGGGGGGCTTAAAGGGGGGCTTAAAGGGGGCTTAAGGGGGGCTTAAAGGGGGGGCTTAAAGGGGGGCTTGAAGGGGGGGCTTAAGGGGGGCTTAAAGGGGGGCTTTAAAGGGGCTTTAAGTGGGGCTTAAAGGCTTCGACCCTTTGCCTCCCCCTGAGCCGATACACCCCTTTAGGATTACTCCTGTGGGAGTGTATGACCAGTTTGAGTCCCGTGGGATCAAAGGCAACGCCCAGCACACGGACAGCGATTGTTTTGTTCTGCTACGCAGAGAGAGCTTGTTGTCAAGTCGGTAAAACCACTTGAGCCAGCGAGCAGCGGACATGTATACATGTGAGCATGCAGCCAAGCCATTGCTGTAAGTACCACCCCTTTAGAGGTTTAGGCAAAAAAACAGACACTAATTTTCTTTTACTGGAAGCATGGCCGCGTGTTCACACATATACACTTGAAAGTGCTCACTGAACTCAAGACTAGCGGAGTATGGACTCATTGTAAAGGATGATATCTTAGATATTCCATAAGTTACGAAAAGTTCACACTCACTCACGTTTGAGTCTGCAAACATGAATCTTGTCATAGAGAGATCTTCTGTACATGATCAGGTCTGTGACTGCTACTTCTACTTCGAATTATGCAACGGCTCACTGGACTCTTGTTAGAGTGTTGGCTTTCTTTTCTTGCTGCTGCTGAGAGTTATTCACCTCTGTGCCCGATCCAGGTTTGGATCATAAGATCTGCTGAGGGTGTTCGGATGTGGCTCATCCGGTTCTGAATGGTCTTCCTCACTACTGGAGTGAATACCAAGGAATTGATTCTCAGCTCTGGTAAAAGCAGCATCTGGAATGCCATATCCGTGATCGGATGTTTCTGGTCCTGCCTTAGCTTTCGGTGCAGCTTGTGAGCTGGTTGCCTTGGGATACCCTTGGGAGCATGCTGGCTGTTTAGCCTTTGCTTTCGCCTTTGCCTTCTGGCGGGCTTGTCCATCGGTTGATGGCCAGGAGTGCTCTGACTCGTCTCCTGATGGAGATAAAGCATTAGCATGTCTGCTATCCCAATACTGGTGTGTTGACGGTGACGGTGGTCCGTCATCTTCCTCTTCCTCTTCTTCTGAGTCATCCTCAGAACTTGGGTCGTCGAAGAGGCTCTCCAGAACATTCCGGAGATTGTTGTGTCTCCTCTCGATTTCAAGAGAGTTATGGAGCAGTTGATTGAAGATCGTCTTTGCATTTTGTAATGCAGTGACAAGAGTCTGTACTCTGGATAGAGTGTCAACATGCTTCTCAATGTGCTCTTTTCTTTCGTCTCTGTCCCTCTGGGTAGAATTTCTCAGCTCCATCGTATAATCGAGGGTGTTTGTGTACCTCGGCAGCGGCATGGTTACCGTCATGTCTTCGTCATTTATGACGATTGCTCCATCGCCTGTAAGGCTTCGTTGGAGTACCTCAATGACGGGAATAAACTCTGTGCTGAAGACTTCTTCCTCGTCGAAGCTTTCGATATGCTGTAGCATATTTTGATGGAACTGTTCGGTTGACTCGATAGTGTGATCGATTGTTTCGATGTGCCTGTTGATAATGTTTCTGCATTTCTGCACATCTGATTGGTAGCCGAACCAATACTGGTTTCACCAAGAGCTGCATCTGCTTGATTGCAGAGTCCCTGCTCATGGGCTGCCTTGATGGCCTTGCGCTGAATGCGCTTGTTCATGCCACCTCGTCTTGTACAACCTTTTGGTCTAGCCGAGGGTACAGAAGCCGATCCTTGAGAGGATGCCTTGGCCTTTGGCGGCGGATGTTTCGGAGGAGGTGAGATGCAGGCTGCCTTGGAAGGCATTGGTGACATTGCCGAAGAGGCTGATGGTTTTGCACTTGGTAGCGCCGCCTGACCTCGGGCCTTAGCTGTTGAGCTCTTTGAGAACGTGGTGTGTGTCACACCCAGGGCTTCATTGGCCATTTGTGCATGAAGAGCATCTTCAAACAAACTCCTTATTTGAGGAATGTTGCTCGAGTTTTCATAGGCCCGGAGGCGATCAATGTCTCTTTCGGTGCCACGTGATCGTGTATCACCTCTGTTGAAGATATCGTTTCTCCGAATCTCCGCCGTTGTTACGGCATGGAAGCATGTTTTGCAGAGAATCTTTCGCGACTTATCTCTCGCTTGTCTGAGCTGATAGCATTCGCTGGAGAGATGATAGCACTGGCTACTCGCAGTATGCCAGATTGGTCGCAGATCTGTCGATTCTCCTGCATTAACTCTGTTGGGTCCTGTCAGGTCTCTCGACTCAGGCTCGTCCTCGGGTTCGAGGAAAGGAGCACATTGTTTGGCTGCTGCCTTCGGCTTCGGTGGGTGCTCCATACACTGAACTGGAGCTCTCGTCAACTGCTTCCACATCCACCGGAGCCCCATCAGCAAGAGGAAAACATTCCATACAATGCTGAAGAAGGAAAACTCATCACTTGTTAGTGAATCTGGCAGCGAGGAATGATCGGTCTCCGTTGGCTCTGCATTTGCTCCCCCACGTCTGGGGTGTCCGAACCATCCTGATAGTCCAGCTGCTGTTGCAGCAGTTTTGACTGCATTTGCACTTGGTGCTGATGGTGGACGCGAAGATTTTCTTCTCCTCCTGTTTGAGGATTCATCTTCTTCTTCCTCTTCTCGTTGCGCATCCATCAGGTTTGATGTTTCGCGCTCGTGCTCCTCAATGTCACTCTGAGTTGGTGACTTCTCTTCATCGACTTCGTTAAGCTCGTCCAAAGACATGTTGAGCTTTTCGACCACATTTGGCCTTTGGTTTCTGGACCTTGATCTTGGTAGATCATGTTGGTCGGATGAAGAGGATGCCCGCTCTCTTCCTGGTGGAGGATTTGGAGGCTCATTTGGACGTTCGGTTCA